ACCTGTGTGATGTGGAGATCTACAGCTGGAAGTGCCCAGGAAGCTTTCGTCCATTGCGCAGACCTTTTCGTGAGAACTCGCTGTACAGCGTATATCGCAGGGGCCCGCTCTCTTGCAGACAAGCTCTCCAAGCAGGTGCCACCGACATGTTGGCCACCACGTTTATGACTAAGTGGGATGGCTGTGGACGACTGCCGATGGGTGTCAATCTTCGGGAATGTGGCGTCATTCGTTGTGGATTGTTCTGCTACACATTGCCTTCGCGAGCCAGTGACTCATGCAGGCCTGCATTGCGCAAGGTTGAAAAGGCAACTTGCGCGATGCGATGAGTCCCTGTAACACCTGTGTGATGTGGAGATCTACGGCTGGAAGTGCCCAGGAAGTTTTCGTCCATTACGCAGACCTTTTCGTGAGAACTCGCTGTATAGTGTATAGCTAAGGAGCAAGTTCCTTGTACTGCCTGTTGGGTGTTGACTGGAGTCATTACATGGTTACTCGCAACATTGACTCCCACTGTGGATTTAGGGCACTTGATGCGCTGGCGAGCAGTCGCCGCCACTTAGCTGTCCACCAGCTGAGCGTCGACCGGCTGTGCTTGAATGATCAATAGCAGTAGTAGCAGTAGTAGTNNGTAGCTGTAGTAGTAGTAGTAGTCGTCGTCGTCGTCATCGTCGTGGTGGTGGTGGTGGTGGTGGTGGCAGCGGCGGCAGCAGCAGTGGTAGCAGTAACGCTAGCAGTACTAATTCTAGTCGTAATATTAGTCATAATGGTAATAGTAATAGGTGTAGTCGTATTACGGTAAGTTCGATCACTAACAATAGTAATAACAATACTGGTGTATGGGAGTCATATTTGTCATAGTAGTCAAACAATTGTCGTAACAATAACACAACTTGCATCCAAAACAAGAAGGACATTAAGAGTGATTGTAATACGCCAACATCAGGTATATGATAAACACAGTAGTTGCGATAGTCATCATAGTTCTCGTCTTTGATTATCGCAGTATTAGCAGAATCATGCAGAATCCAAACCTAGATGGCGCTGACCATGGTGATAATTGCAATAAAAGTCGTAATTAAATGCGATAAGTAGTCAATAGCAGGCATAGCGAAAGCATGCAGGAAGAAACAAAAGCAAAGAGCAAAGACCCAGAATGGAAGACAGAAAGCAGCCTGAGAAAGCAGATAACACAGGCACGAGCCGAAAATGAAAGCCAAAACAAAACAAAACAAAACTGCAGGCATCCTAATTGAAGTGGGGCTCCCTGGACGACCGTGACAGTGTCTCTGCTTCGAAGCGAGCAAAGTCTCTATCGATTAGCAGCTTCATTTCCTCATGGCTGGAAAAGTTGACAGATATGTCATGCCATAAATGCAGCCGAGGTCGTTGCTCAGGCACTTCATGAACGCCTCACAGAACTTGCTGCGTGTGATGTCATGTCCATGATCAGCTGCGAGCGATGACGATGATTCTTCCGCCGCACGCAGTCAGGTCAGCGGAAGAGTGTCTGCAGCGTCAAAGTTTCAGGTAGATCACGTAGCTCCAAGTGCAAAAGGGCTGTAGCTGTAGCAAATTCATGGGACTCAATGAGTGATGAGATGCAGAACCTGGATACCTCGCTCACATGGAGCATTACAAGCCCAGACTCTGTGACCACAATCAAGAGTACACGTACTGATACTGGGCGGGTCAACTTGCACGATGGCTCGCGGAATGTCTTGATGGCACGAAACTCAGTCAGTGCTTTACGGCCAACTTGGAAAGGTGGTTGTTCACCGCATTTGCCAACAGCATTAGTGCTTCGCATTGGGCTCTGTACCTCCTCGTTTTCCTTTTCCCTGCAGCTGTTGTCTCAAGGCCTTCAGGGCTTATGGCAGCTCCAGCAGCACAAGTGCTCAGAGCATCCATCAGACCGTGCCAACGTTTTGAGTACAACATTGGCTTCATCGACCAAGCAAACCCTCGAGCAGCCTCCAATTAAGCTTTCTTTGCATAAGCAGGGGTTAACCCGGCAAAAGCTTCGCCGCGCCGAGCTTCTGGAAGGGCAGGCAGGGTTCCGAGTCCTTCCATGTTATGCGGATCAATCTATTAGATGTTACCTGATCAGTAGAACTTGGAATTTGCCAGGTTCTCTTATCGCGGAGCCACAAAGCTGATGAGCATTCATGGAATCTTCGAGGCCACGTGGGCACAAAGCCAAAACTATTTTGACATCATGTTGAACATGAATGCATAACATCAAACGCGGTTGAGAGTGAAGGCTAAGAGACAGGGGCAAGTGTTTCAACAAAGAAGCCAGCAGGGCAAGAAGTTCGTATCTGCTACTTATGTTCATCCTAGAGCGATTCGCATTGTGGTAGGTCTTGTCTGTGCAAAGCTAGTCCCTCACAGATCCATGCCGACCCGCAATTCATCAACCCAATTCTCCTGCGAGTTGAAACTGCTGCCAGGAGCTGCATGTCCTTTCCATGCTGTGAGGATGACCAAGGTATGGGCCTCAGAGACTGCGACAGCAAGCTGTTTCCAGTCGGGCTGTCGCGCCAGAGTTTTGTAGGCAAAGCACGTACCAAAATTCGGATGGCCAGCATAGCACATGGCCTGCGTGAGTCTGTTTTTTTTTCAGTCGGGAATGCTCTTGCATGCACTTGTTTCATAAAAGGCAGGTCAAGGTAGCAGTTCTGTGGCCACTCTCACGTTTGCGGTTACATTGCGGCAGCGGCTGAACAGTGAGAATTCCTGCGAGGCGACCATGACCCAAACGCGCACCTTGGCTGGAACTGTGGTATCTGCGGACTATAAATGGCAAGCTGCAAGACTTTGTTGGTCACTTGTATCGTTGAGGTATCGCTTGACAGAAGTGGTGTTGGTTGGACCCGCGCCAGCACCAGAAGAGAGAGAGCCCTATCCTCGTGAGACCCAAAGTGTGTCTCTGCTAGCTGAGCTGTGGAGATTTTAAGGTCGCGGCCAGAGGTCCTCCTTCGTAACGGAGCCAAGTGCCTTCACTGGAATCTGGAGGTACAGTGAGCTGTGGAATCCATGAGCAGACGCTGGCAGGTACACTGGCCAGTGGAGGGGGAACCTCAGAGATGGCCACGGCCTCTCCAGTGATTTCTCATGCTGCGCAGTGAGTGTGGGCGGCTTGCAGTGCAGAAACGAGGCTTCCTGTACAGAGAATGCCAGGGTGCATGGCCTGCGTACGTAGATGCATTGAGAAACCATGTTCTCTAAGGTTCGGGCACGCTAGTCTGGCCCGACGGTGCGAGTTATGTTGGGGAGTTTTGCGAGGACTGACGATGTCATGAACTGGGCATGCTTTGTCACGGGAGCCCAATTTCTCTACTGGTGCACTGAGAACTTCTGCCGGTTGGCGGAAGTGCAGCGTCCTCCAAGTCGAGGCTCCGCAAGAGCCTGGTGGTTCGCGTCGCTTCGCCTTTGCCTTGACGTGACCCCCCCCCTCCCCGGTGCTCGCAGTGCGTAGGATTCCAAGACCCGTACATGACCTCGGCATCCCCGACACACCTTTATACTGAACACGGTCGGTCTCCGTTTCAACTCAGGCATGCATGAACGGGATTTGCACGACACCCCGAACCATCCTGCAAGAGAGTAGCATCAACAGCATCATCGGGTCCCGATGTTGACCCGAGCCATCACAGGCTAGAAAGTTTCTTGAATACAGTGATTGAAAAACTTTCAAAACCAGGAAACTATGGAAAGCCTTTACAACTTTACAAGACGCTCACAACAGCATAAAGCCGCACAAAACTTGATGAAACCTCCCGTGCCACGTCGTCAGCCGTCGGTTCGTAGCATTAGCGTGTGAATCGGTAGCTCATTGTAGTTTCTTGCTTAGTTCCGCCTTTGATTGCCCAAATTTTCACGCGTCCACTGCCTGTGCGCGTGCAGCGTCCTTACAATTTGGCCTGAGATCGTTCTTAGGTATGTGAGGCTCCTCGCAATTCTGGTCTTACTCTCGCTCTAGTACGGAGCAGGCAGCTGGGTTCCGCAGCTGCTTGTGGAGCATGCTCTGAAATTGGCTCGAAATCATGGTCTCGCGTGGACGGGCCCAGACTACGTCCGGCACAGCAGCGCCCACTGCAAGTTCGCAGGACTGACGGAGGCAAATCATTGTGGGATATTGTGGGTGCCATCTACTATCTACAACCTGACGTGGTGGACGCCAGGGCACTCTGCGACGTGATCTTGTCAAATCCGTCCAACTCGGCCATCAACAGATCCTTCTTCAACATCATCTACGCAGTAGTGGTCGGACAGCACATAAGCTGGGTGCCCACTGGCGTCCATTGGGCAATTGGGAAAATGGTTTGACCACCCTCTACGAAGACCTTCAGGCGAAGACCTTCAAGCTTCGAAATACCAGAGATTGAAAGGACATGTCATGCTAGGCACGCAAAAAAAGGCAAACCAGTAATGTACCTGGGACAACATCGTGCTTGCTGATGTTTGCTGTGCATTGGCCTATGGTGTTCTGTGGTTGTATGGGGCATTTCACGAGGGCCTTTGAGCTCATTCCTGCGTTGATGTAACAAGACGTGGGTGCTTTGCGGTCCCTCGAGCAGGCATTTTTTTTAGAGATGCTTCTCGCAAGCAGGAAGAGCGATGTCAAACTTCAGTAGCTGAGCTGCCAAATGGCGGGCGCTAATAAAGGATTGGCCCGGAAGGAGTAACGTTTGCCAAGCTTCACAGACATCCCTAGCTTGCAAGCACATGACGTGCCGTATCTCAGTAGGTACTGTACCAAGCGAGAAGGATTACCCAATCAAACGTCAACCTGAAGAGAGAAGTATTCTTGCCAAGCCCGTTGAATTGCACCGATTCGAGAGGATGTTGCTGAAGGCTACGGAAAGTTCATGCAGCCAGAAGGTGACGTGCAGACCTTGGACACAGCGTGCTGCAACATGGACACGTCAGACACAGCGGCACTGAGGTCTATGAGGGGCACTGGGTAGCTGACAAAGCTCATGGGAAAGGAAAGTACATCCAGGACAGAGTTGGAAGTTCCAGTTGAGTCAAGCGTTTGATGCTGTTTTCCACAGGTAGATGGAGCAATCTTTGAAGGCGAGTGGGCAGGGGCCGCAGCACCAGTGACACCCTTCAAGGATGGTGGTTTTGCTACCTTTAGCTCAGTGTGCACAGATGGCAAAGGTAGCTGACCAACAGCATGGGCACGGCCAGGCTTGGGTTTCCCAGATAATATTTGATGTGCCGCTAGATGTTGGCTAAGCAAGGAAACTTGGCCAGACGGTTCAACTTATGTTGGCGAGCTTTGTCCTCGGAAGACTGCTGTTGAACAAAGCGTTCCAATCTTGAAATGAGCTGATGCAAGGTACCTCGAAGGAAAGAAAACTGGAAAGGGCATTTTTTCGTGGCCCGGTGGGCTGGACACTGAGATGCAACGCACTCCTTTCTGGGCTGCGACAATTCAGTCGCGAGGTCAAAGTACTCGGGCACCTTTAAGGACAATGAGATTGATGGTGAAGGCGGCTTGCTGCTCTTGTGCTGCCGGGTTGTCTGAGCACTTCTACTCAGGAAAGTTCAAATGGAAACCTCGCAATAGACACAACATGGACGAGGGTGCTTTTGCAAAGTGCCATGGCTGACACCGCGAGGAACCTACGACTGGTCTGACGGTCGTCGTTACCATGGCCAGTGGAGCAAATGTAAGATGCACGGTATTGGTGCGCCACTCAAGCTGCGACGGCCCCAAGCACCCTCTTGGAGCGTTTGTTCAGGTACATGTGTTTGGCCTGATGGCCGATCCTACGAAGGCCCTTGGTGCACAGATATGAGTCGAAATTGAAATGCTGACGGCTGTTGTTTCTAGCCTTACGTGTGCAGACAAGGCACACGTTCAAACAACTCCCCAATCAGACGTGCAGAGCCACCAAGCCCCATGAGGCCATTACCACTACGACAAGAAACATGGATACGGCGTTTTCCGCTGGCATCTTGCTGGCGAAAAGACTTGCACACGGTGCGCACATCTAAGTATTTCAGCATGGAATCAAGGCCAGATGGCAGCCGCTTCACGGGTGAGTGGCAGAACGGCAAGCAGCACGGTCCAGGTACGAAGCTCAGGCTGACGAAGAATCGATGGACTTAACGGATTGACAATCGGGTTAAACTACAAACTCAACTGAACCAGGAGCCTTGTCTTACTTCACACTTGTGTGCGTTGTTAAAATGCAGAGCAATCGGATCGCACCGTCCGCACACGTGTGGCTTTTTTGATAGCACGCTTGTGTGCGTTGTAACAAAAAGCAATTGGGCGGTCCCCAAAGCCGTCCGTTTTCTCAGACCGCCTTTTTTGTCCTACCCGCCCAGCCCAGGCAGTTTGTCCAATACGCTTGTAAGCATTGATTTATCGATCTTTCCACCTTAGTGGGCTTCTACGCACGCCTCATGCCCGGCGGGTGCAAGAGCGCCCTGTCCGTTCAGCCCCGGAGGATTGGGGCAGTTTGAGGACCCCCCGCCGTACGGCGATTCCTCCACCGCATTCAAAAAGTGCCGCTGTGCACTGTTCAACGCAACTAGGTTGATTCGCCACATCTAATTCAAGTCTGACGTGGCATCCAATAAACGCGGGCATACCGGTGGGTGAGAAGCGGGACTTTAATGATGCCATTGCTGCGGGCCGTTTCGGTGCAATGAGGCTCTATTGGGCTCCTTTGGAGGACTGCAGCAATGCTGGCTGCTGGTTGCTACGGGGGCTTCCACAAACTGCTTACTTCTCGCGGGGTTGCTTCCCTGCTGGCTGGTGCTATGTGACAATGCAAAAGGAGGCTTTGGGATGGTCACAAGATTTGCACAATCAGGTTTGGCCTGTTGCGACTGTTCTGCGACAGCAATACCTGCAAATGGAATGGTGACACTGCAGCCGGCGCTAGTTCCCATGTAAACCTGCGTGATGGTAGCTGAGGCACTCGTCCATCCCCAAAGGTTGTTCCTTGTTGCTGCTCTTGTAGACATGGACGCAGTTTGCGAGCCACCCGCCAGTGATGTGCAACCCGCTAGTGATGTGCATCCCCCTGAAAACGCTGCGCCCTTCACGCACTGATTTTTGGTCCCTTACCTAGTCTTGTCCCTTACCCACACAAGTTCCTGATTCGTGGCTGTAGCTGCGATGGCATCAGGTTGTTACTGGCTCCCTGGAGCGCTTGAGCCGCGGAAAGGTGTTTGGGTCATCCCCCCAGAATCTGGAACAAGCCAATTGCTCTTTATCGCAATGTGCTCGTTGGACAGCACAGACGGCTTTGCTGAGGACAATGGAAAGCGGGTCAAGTGGTCTTCGTAGAAGGCGCAGCTGTTCTGATCTTGCAAGTGGCCCGCCAAAAAGATCCTGGCAGGTGCAGTCTTGGGCTTCTTGTGAAGCAATGGTTCATGTGCACCAGTCCATGCGACCAGAATCGTTGCCGGAGCCGCTGATATCTGGCCTGGTTTAGAATTTTGAGCGTCGAACTTCCAAACTGGTTCCGCAATGTTGGGTCAACTTTGCATGGTGGCTCTGCCTCCAAGCTAAGAAGGTCAATGTTCCCCGGTTGGTCAGGCAAACGAGTTTGCAGTTACTATTGGAGCCAGATATTCATGACTGTCCACCCGGGATTCTAACAGCCACAAGGCTGGCCTGTTCAGTCCCCGCAGCTGCAAGACATCTTTGATCAATCAATTTTGTCAGCAAATTCTGGGGCCAGCTTGGATTTTCTTAAAGCGTGGTGCACTTCCGCCTTGGCCATGCCAGGGCTACAGTTTGTGTAATTTGAGCAAAGAGCGCCTTGGTTGCAGGAGTGGAGGTTACTGTTTTACAAAGCCCCCACCGCAATCCCTGCCAGCTGTAGCACCGGTGGTGGTAGCAGGGTGGTAACAGCAACAACAGAGGAAGCAGTAGTTCGTTGTGGTCCCTGCGGTGGCGGTGGCGTTGGCGCTGGCGCTGGTGCCAGTGCCTGTGCCTGTGCCGGTGCTGGTGGTGCTGGTGCTGGTGCTGGTGCTGGTGCTGGTCAAACAGGCCCCTTTCTCAGGTTCCCGACCCCACTTGTCATTGTTCGCCCTCACCTCTGCCTGGTTCATACGAAGCACGTTCCCTGCTTATCCCTGCTTATTCTTCCAATTCAAGAAGAAATCACTCATAAAATGTGTGTCATTACACCAGTATACACCAGTGAACCGTGGCATAGCCGAGCCATGCCGAACAACTTGAAATGGGAGCTGGGCAGGTGTGGCCAAGAGGATAGCTGGGGAAGAGGCTCAACTTGACTGTTCCAGACGCCGTGTCCAGACAGAGGATCGAGGAATGTCTTGTTTCATGAAAACTCAGCATCCTCAGCAAGTGAGCATTGCTTGCAGCGCGCGTTGCATCAATCCCATTTCCGCATGAAGGCGGCAATGGTGAAGCTAACACCAGCCCAAGACGGGCTCTCGCATGGCTTGAGCTATGCTTTGAGGGAAGTGGCCCGTGACAAAAAGGTTGACATACATCTGAAATGCCCACCAAAAGACAGTCCTTGCTCGGCTTTCGGTATGCTATGACGCACTATGCCGCGAAAGAGGAACTTGCTGCAGATCAACAGGCTGATCCCACGTGAAGCAGGAGATATAAGCGGTATTGCGGAATTTTCGAGTTGAGATGACCAGCTGTCCAAGGTGTAGATGCCTTCTAGGCCTGACGCGCGGGTGCCAGGCCAGGGATTTGACATCACGTTCTGCTAACGTTGGCAGCGCCTGCACTGCGGCAGATTGCACTGCGATTGAGGTTGTCAACTTCTAGCAGCAGTTTGGCTCAAAACAATTCCTGCGTGGCCTCTGACTGTGTGTTTGCCTCAACTGTGGAATCAATAGCTTTCAGTGCCTCTCGCTTGTTCTGTGTTTCTGACTCGGGCAAGGTCTCTATGTCTAAATCTGTGAAGTTTGAAGGCCATCTGAATTCATGCAGATGCACAAGAAAACGAAAGCCAACGCCAGGTGTTGGTATGACATGCTCTGGCTGCTCAGGGGCCATTGAGCGGATCCTAAAGAAGGCCATTACGAGCTTGTCTGCTGTACATGTCTATCTGATTTTGCCCGGCAGGTAGATGGCGTTTCGAATCTTGGCAGCAGCTGTCATACTTGGCTGCGCTTATGCGGCCTGCAAAATGTCATGTCATGGCGCAACATGCAGAAGTCAAATGCCAAAGCAGCGGTTTACGCATTGTTCAAGGCTTTCGGGCTTTCCGATGCTACCTCTTCCGAGCATCAACTGCCCTTGGCTAGCTTCTGTAGAGCATCCAAGAAAGCTCGTCAGTGCAGTGAGTACAACATGTGTCTAGCCAATTAAGACCACCGTAAGACAAAAGCACTGTGAGCTGAACGTTGTTGCATGAGCGCAATGAACATAACGTGGCATGCCCCAAAAAGTTCAATGCAAGCATTACGAACTTATGAACTGGAGCTCTCGATTGCTTTTCAGAGAACCCTATAATGAGCCAATAAAACTGAACGCTCTTACTACCTCTTACCACAGGGGAGACCTACCATACCCCAGTGTGGATTACAGCGACAGGAAACTCCACATGTCACATACCGCGACTCCAAAATGCATCAGCACGACAGCCTTTCGGCTCAACAACTTTTTAGTTTTATGCAGTTTTGAGCGGCCTTCCTGAGATGCGGTAGAGGCCGTCAGACATGACATTGAATGACACATGTGAGACAACAACATATTCAGATGTTGTCTTTGTTGCCAGGCAAGCAACTTTTTCTTGGACTTTCTTGGACGGGTGGCTTCGCTACAGGCCTGTATTTGCCCTTGTGTGCTGGTGTGTTGGCGAATCAGACAATAGACCGGGAGCCCGCTTTTTGGGTAGATTACGGGACCAACACCTGAGAAAGGGCCGCCCCACCTCAAACCAATGTATTGCAAGTGGTGTGGCAGGGGAGAGTCCGACAATAAACCGGGAGCCCGCTTTTTGGGTAGATTATGGGACCAACATCTGAAAAAGGGGGCTCCCGACCCCCGCCCCACCTCAAACCAATGTATTGCATGTGGTGTGGCAAGCATATGCTGCAACGCTGCAGCTTGTGCAAGATAGTGTGTATTGGCCAGGAGCCTTATTTTTGGAGGTCTCAAAAAGTGGGCTCCCGGTGCTGATGGCTGGAAAAAGGGCCCGCTGTACCACTTCCGTCGCAGAGCACAGCAAGTGCGCGAGATGCTGGAGAACTTGCCGAATGCTCGACGCGGCAGCCATGACAAGCAAGCCGCCCGCCGAGTGCTGCAGAGGTCGTTCGCCATCGCTGTGAAGCCCTTTGTAGAGGCGGCCAAGGCAGGAAGTGACATGGGAAAGGGGAAACAAGTTTGCTTGTGCACGAGTATGGGATTCTTCCAATGCCTTCTTTGGAGGACACACTGGCTGAGTTGCTGCGTGGGGAGGTGGTGCAGGTTCGGCTGACAGAGGAGGCGACGTTGGTGCTCCAAGCGGCGCTTGAAGACGTGCTGGCTAGATTCTTTGTAGATTCTATGCGGTGCATGATCCACGCGGGAAGGCTCACACTGTGGCCCCTTGACATGCGCTGCGCCACAGAAGTGCGGTCTGACGATCCCTTGTTGTCGGGTTGGGATCCGACAGGTCCAGCAACGCCAAAGGCGGCGCGTAAGCTAAGTCGCAGGGTGCGACGTTTGCAGGGCGTAGAGGCGTGAAACAAAACATGATGCCCGCTGTCGTGCTTGTTGCAAGACATTGTCGTCGTAGGTAGGGTAAGAGCTTGCCGTGGTAGCAGCCGAAGCTGTCAGGGTGCAGAATCCTTGGGCCAAAGCGTGGTAAGTGCACCTTCTCATCTCTTACTCCTCCCGACGGAAACCACCAGGAGTAAGAAATGGCAAAAAGCCATGCACGTTATTTTGCCCCCCCCAAAAACCCACCAACAAACCACGTGCACATGCTAAACCACGCAGAGAATCTGCAGGTCACTCTGACCTCAGACCAAAATCCAACCAACTGCATACTTCCCTGGTCTGCGGCATGCGGCGAGGCATCTGTAACAGTGATATAGCAGCGCGTAGAAGTAACAAGATGCAGTCCTTTGCATTCCCTATCTTCAGCCGATTTCCTGTTTGAACTGCTTAGCACATCTTGA